CATAAAGAAACATCAGTAACATACTCGTAATGAAGAGATAAGTCACTGCTGTTATGAGAAGTTTGGGTTCAATAAAAGTATTCTGTAGTGTCCCAAAAGCAATCCAGTGACTTAAAAAAAAATTATGGACCCAGCTCACTGTCCACCTGTACTGTTTATCCTAGACATAAATATTTTGCGGCAAGCTCTATAATGTCTATTCAGCTACGTTTTGAAATTTGGGCAACAGATATTCTTCATCCATTTGGTTTTTCCTGTGTGGATGGACAAGCCAAACTCCAATGAATGATTATTGTTTTCTTGTGGGAGATTCTGCAATTTCTTCAGCCCTGATGCAATCAACAAAATGTAATTTGCAAAGAAGAACATCTAGAGGACCTCACCATCCACAGAAAAGCCCTCTTTGATCTGTACCCTACACTAAATCTCCTCCATCACAGTGTCAAATGCTTTGGACAAGAATAAAACTCCTCTTTCAATAACCCACTTGATACTGTCATTAGTTAACGAGTCAAGTCTCCAGTGTAAGAAATTTTGAATGATCTTGATGAATGGAGAGTAGACATCTTATTGAGAATGATCCTGTTAAGTGGTATTTTGTTCTATTGAACCAAATGCTTTTTTCATAAGCTACACTCTACATCTTTCAGTCAGGAGAGAGATGGTAAAGATGTAGTACACTGGTGAATATCATTGATGAAAGTCTTTTGTTCCCTAATAGTATCTTTATCTGGTATATTCTCTCTTCATCTATAGATGGAGGCAGTTAGATGGCACAGTAGATAGAATGCTGAGCCTGGAGTCAGGAGTTCAAATCTGGTCTCACACATTTACTAGGTGTGTGACCCCGGGCATCACTTAACCCGGTCTTGCCTCAGTTCCTCATCTGTAAAATGAGCTGGAGAAGGAAATGACAAACTGCTTCAATATTTCTGCCAAGAAACCCCAAATGGGGTCATGAAGAGTTGGACACAATCAAAAAACAACTGAACTCATAAAACCTTTGAAGGCTAGGGAGGAAGATCTGAGTTCAAATCAGGCTTCAGACACTGATTAGCTGTGTGGCCATGGGCAAGTCACTTAACCTGTTTCCTCAGTTTCCTCACCTACAAAATGGAATAATAGCAACACCAATCTGAACTGTTGTGAAGATGAAATAATATTTTTGAAAGTCCTAGCACAGTGTCTGGCACATAGCAGGCACCATGTAAATATTTATTCCTTTCCCTTCCCTTTCCTTTTTGTAGAATGGATAGGGAAGTAGCCATATAGATCAGTAGGTGCTGATTTTCGTGTTCATTGTCTTAAAAACAAAACAATAAATTTGAGGGGTTTTTTCCACCTCTAAAAGAAAATATCCTGTAAATTGATGCCATCACAATTTTATCACCTCCAGTACATATTTCTTCCAAACATACTTGATCCAATCTGGCTATTTTTTTCCATCTTTGTTCCCCTTAGGTCCATTTCATCACAAAGGCTGTGATACTAGATTCCCCACATTCCTTGACGGAGAAAACAGATGGCTGTAATAATCTTTGAAAATTTTTTCCCCAATTTTCCTTTTTTGTAGTCCGTTTTCCATTTTCATCCTTGAATGCTGTTGGGATGACTTAGTTTAGATAAACATCTTCCCAAACTTTCTACAGGTTTTCTTCCTTTCTTAATTTCCTCAACTGCTGGTGCCCTCTCTTTGCCTTTCTTTGCATCTTAGCACACAGTTGGCACAAAATAATAAAAGTTTTGTTGACTTTACCTAGGTCTAAGTCTTGCTTCTAACACATACTGGTTGTATAACCATGTGCAAATCACTTAACCTCTAAAAGTCCCCACTTAGCTCTCTAAGACTGTTAATTACAGAAGATTTGCCTATCTGCATTGGTAAAAGTTGTCTCCATGACCAAGAACTTGTTATACAGAAAATATTTGTTATGATTGGAAATAGGTCATCACTCAGAGATGTTAAGAACTTTTCTTTGAACTAACATTCATCATAAACTGTAAAGTGCATATCCTCTTCATTTCCTACCTGGCTGCTTTAGTCTGGGAATGCTCTGACTTTTCCACCACGCCCCAAGAAACTCATCATTGGGGCAGCTCATCTTCTTATAGGGCAGACTCAGCCTTGGCACTCACACTTCACCACTACCATCTGCCCCTCTGATTGGAGGACAGAGCCATGAACTCCAAAGCCTCCATTTAAAGAGGGGGCTAAGGGTATATATCTCCTCCTTCATTGCACTGCCCACCTCACTGCTCTACTTTGGGACTTCTATGACTTCTCTACCATGCCCCAGGAAGCTCGTCATTGGGAAATCTCTTCATCCAGCATGATGGAACAAGCCTTAGTAGTCATATCTCATCAGTACTTCTTCGCCCCCCTCTTCTTCCTTTGTGTGTTGTCCTTCCCCATTAGATTGGCAGGGGCTGCCTTTCTTGTATCCCAGACACTTAACACAGTGCCTGGCACACAGCAGACATTAAATAAATGTTTGCTAACGACTGAAACCAAAATACAGCGCTGATCCTCACTATATCCATTTATTCTAACTGTGTAATAAAAAAACCTGTGAGATCAGCACTATTAAAATTCCAAGAAAACAGAGATGTCACTACTGTCTTTCTAGACAAGCCAGACTCCATAAACTCATGGATGAAAAATACACAGCCCAGCTGACTTCTGTATAACGTTCAAGCACTAAAAGTTTGGAGCATTTATCTGAACCAAACAAAGTCCTTTATTTTAGATTTGCCTAGAAATTTTTTCAGAAATTAGTTATAATCTTAAAAAAAAATTAAAACTGTAAAATATCTAAAGGAATCTAATAGAATCTATTACATTAAGGAGTACTGGAATAATTCCATTGAAGCCTTTGAACCAAAACCACCAAATCTAAATAAATTAATATTTCAGGGTTCTCTTGAGAATGATGGAAAAACCAAACCAAACCAGAAGAGGCAAGACCATCTCTTCTCCCATCCTCTCTTGACCCTCATTTACGGGAGTCTGCTGTTTGCTCCTGTTTTTCGCTGCTAGTCTAACCTACATCTTCACAAGAGTCCAATGCTGACTTGATCTCAGATCTCTGGAGCTCTGCCTCTTCAGACATCAGGCTTCTAGTCAACTTTACTCATCTGCTGTTAATAGTACACGTGCTACGGAGTGGCAAAAATGCAGAGTGACAAGGGAAACACACAACTTGCAGTCCTTTGGGGGCAGTTTTACATGAATGATTCTTAAAGCACACTGGCCCCCCTCTGCCCTCCACACTTTGAAGCTGCGCCATAGTTCTGGAGAGGAAGAGGGCATCCACGAGATGTTGGGGGTGTCTGTGAACCAAGACATACCTATCAGTCTAAGTTGTGTTTGGGACGACATTTTTTCCTGGTAATTAAATCATGTGAACTGTGGTTATAAAAACCAATAGCCAGGCATTCAAGGGATGGACATAAATGGAAACACTTCTTACTTTTCTACTACTGCTTTAGAAGGGTGCAGAAGGAGGGAGATGACTACATATGACTTCAATAAAGACATGACCAACATCCAGGCCTTCCTTAAAGCTAATATAAAAATCTTTGCAATGATGTAATTAAGTTCTCAACAGGCCTCAAAAATAAATAAGTTTACTAGAATCACAGAATTTTAGAACTAAAAAGGGTATTTCCAGATTATCTAGACCACTCCACTTTACCAAAATGGAAAATAAGTCACAAGGAGCTATGTCATGTGACCAAATCAGGTCACTTGACCAAGGTCAGAAAGGTAGTCAGGCCAATAACAAACAGGGCACAAAACCCAGTGTTAACACAGTTTTCTTATGAAGTATTTTTACATTACACATTGGTTACAAATGAAGGAATATTTAAATTTAATGAAGCAACTCATGCTGAAAATACACTTGTACGTTTGGAATGTGACATTAACTTCATCCTACGATGTTGTCTACAGACTACTCTGGGTAAACCTTTGTTTCTCAAATCACGTTTTGGTATTAGCGGTAGGGGAGTAAAAATGGCTGTGAGAGAAGAGGTTTGATGGTGTGCCAACATACAATGGAACGGAATTCAATAACAAGCCGGAGAGACAGTGGGCTTTTATCAGAACACTGCAAAGTGTTGGTGGCTACCCGTCAATGCTGAGCCAGAGTGTGTTACTGCGGAGTGTGACTGAGTGTTTTCCCCACAGGCAGTAAACTATTATCGACTCCCCCCATTAGCATGGAGGGTGGATATTGAAGGTTCTAATGGAAGGCTGAGGGACTCCTATCCCGAGGCCAGAGCAGAAAGACAGCCTATCACTTCATGTAATGGCAGCCCATGTGTGACAAACCTGACCTACATTTCCCCCCTTTCTTTTTCACAACAGCCTGTCGCTGTTTTAAGGAGCTATTTTCTGAGATGCATAAAAGAAAACGCGTGCAGGAACTGCCTAGTTAATGTGCTTTCCACAATATTTCTTGGAACCATTTCCTAAAGGAACAGTTTACACTCAGGATAAATTATGAAAATCTAGCCTAAAATAAGACCAGAAGCATGTGAAAAAGTGCTTAAATAATTATGAAGTATTTATAAAATTATCCTATACAGTGCTTCCTTTTAGACATTAATTACATAGTACATATACCTAAAATGTTATTAATATATAGCATAGTATGCAATTCAAGTAATTAGAAGAATTTAATGAAAAAGGTTTTTAAAATATTATCAAAATAATATATAAACTAGGATACTTTAGCTAAAAATTTCATAATTCATTCTAAAAATCAGTTCCCAGAGCTTTGCAAGTGACAATTTCCTGTTAGTTCTATTAACTTCGCAACGTATACACTGTAATCACTACTAAGAATAGAATGTAATTAAAAAACAACGATGGAGGAGGAAAGGCAAGATTAATTTGGTACAAAAATGGCAACATTGGAAAATGCTATTTCCCAATGGCTGTAGCCCCTCCTTCAAAGAGCCGAGGCTGCTAGGCCTGCGCCTCAATGGGGACCTACCGCGCCGCTGCAGGTCATACGCTTTTTTGGTCTCTTCGTTTCCTAGAATTTTCCACGCCTGATCAATTTCAATGAACCTCTGCACACACTCTTCCACAGCTCCTGCTGGCACATCTGTGCTCTGTTTGTCTGGATGATACTGCCAATCAAAGAGAAGGGGGGGAAAGTTGAGTGGGGTAGGTGGGGGAAAAATCAATAGGATTATCTAAGATGTATTTCAAGGAGGGTGAGGGGATGAAGAAAACTAAGATTCCCAGGGGAACGGGACAATAGTCTTGGGCACAAGAGACTGCTACTGCCAGGTGAGTTAGACCACTGGAGCAGCTATAAGCCTATCAGTGGCATGGCATGGCATGATGTGCACAGATAGCATTTTCTGGATAATTTGCTGATGGACTCCCTGGTCTCATGGACAATTTACCTAGAGAGACTGAGTAACAGAAAAAATAGATGCCTGCAGAGGAACAAAGCATAGACAGGATGAGGAGGTGGGGGGGGAAGGGAGACACTTACAAAAAGTAGTTGTAGACTAATTCATAAAAAAGTGACCGCAGCTCAGCTGTAGATCTAATTACACATAAGCAAAACTAAATGAGGTTCAACTATCACAGACAAAATTATGCATAGTTTTCAAACAGCTATGCAGCTTTCTTAAATAACTTCTTCAAAACCTTTAGTTTCACTTTTCTAAATATTTAAACCTATAGATTACTGACCATTAAATTTATTCAGCAAATGGCAATTCAAAAATAGATTTAGAAGAAAGTATTAACAAAAACATACAATGGAAGAATGAAATGAACTGGTTCAATTTAAATCAACTTGTCAGGAAATCCTTTGTGTCTGTATTTTCTGGAAAATATTTTAGGGGGATCTTCAGATCACTGAATGCTATTTCAAACTGTTAACCATCCTATGTCTTTGCCAAAGACATACATTTCTATGTCAGTTTAAATAAATGTTATAACCTGATACAAATGTTATAACCCCTCTCCAATGCTGTATCACTGTGCTCTCCACGCTCTCATGTCCTACTCTATCATTCTTTTCTCACACGCCTTCCTCCATTCTCACTTCTTTTCCTAATCCCCTTTAATTTCTTTTTTTTTTCTTTTTCTATCTCCTTCAGTTCAGAAGAAGCATCCACATGGAAGACAGATAATATGACTGCAGATTTCCAACAGCAACAAAATGAAGAAAAGTTATTCCCCTTTAGCCAAAATTCATGTAAAAAATGAAAAAAAAAAGGAAATCAGAATGTGAATTTAGAAAGTACACTAATGGTCACGGCAAAATTTTCACTGTAACGCAAAACATGGAAAAAAAATGTGTAAAACGATCAGGTTAGCAATCATTCTAGAACATCATCTGATAAAAGGCATTTAGCAGGTTTTCATTTTAAAATTAAACTTTGGAGTTCTGGGAAAGGTTAAGAAATGTCTGTGGTGTTATACAAATTTTTCAAGGAAAAAATAGCCAACTAAAAGCAGAATCATGAAATCTTAAAGAGTTGTAGGACTCTCTTGACCAGAAGTCATTAGTTTCCCCATAAAGACCTTGGGTGCTGGGAAACTTCTTCCCTGGGACAACCTGTTTTATGGACAGTCCTAACTACCAAGAACTTCTTTATACTAACCAAATATCTGTCAACCTATAGCTTCTGCCCATGACTTCTTATTCTATCCTCTGGCCCAATGTAAAACAAATATAATCTCTCTTCTTCAAAACAAATTTTCAAATATTTGAAGATCTCAGTCTTATCCTCCCAAATCTTTTTTTCCCAAGAAAAAAATTCCTAATATCTTTAACCTATCTTCTACTGATTTCTCAAAATTCATAACATACTGGTTGGTATATTCAGCATATATGTTCACAAATTAATGATACATTTATGCTGATCCTTTCATTAAACATTTCACAGGCATTTTAAAATAGTCACACAAATTATTGTAAGTACCACACAGCACAAATAATGCAAGTTTCTGTCAAAGTGAAGCAGTGAATTATAGCAATTACCAGGTAATAAGCAATCAATAAACATTTATTAAGTACCTACTATGTGCCAAGCACTGTATACTAAGTCCTAGGGATACAAAAGAGGCAAAACACAGTCCCTGCTCTCAGGTAGCTTACAATTTAACAGGGAAAGACAACATGCAAACTAATATACACACATTAAGCTATATATAGGATAAATAGGAAACAATTAACAGAAAGAAGATGCTAGAATTAAGAGGGGTTGGGGCAGGTTTCCAGTCAAAGATGGGATTTTAATTGGGACTTAAAGAAGGCAGCAGTTGGAGCAGAGGAGGTAAGAGCATTCCAGGCACCGAGAAAATCTTTGACACTAAGCCGAGGAGAGCCCATCTGAGGTATGTTATATAGTGCCTATCACTACCTCAGAACTACCCCCAGAGTTCTGCCATCTGCTCTGAAAGGGGGAGGGCAGGAGGTGGATGGCCTTTCACTCCTTTAGGCTCCTGGCTTCAATGCCAGAAGGAGGATGATTACTATTCCACTTGGAGGCATGGGATTTATGCTTGGAAACCTTTATGGGGCATTTTCTTTTAAATATCCAAAAGGCCGTGACCAAAATAAACTCAAGCCCTTGAAGTGTGCTTCCCTTCTGATCAGCTGGCTTGCTCCACTTCTTACTGACTGATTCACTTTTAACTCTTCAGCTTATAATGAATGGATGACTCTTAAACGGGGGCCGCTGGCATTGCTTGAAACTGCTTGTCTTTCTCACTTTCACGTTACAAAAATCATTCTCACTCGAGTAACAAATGCCCAAGGCCCTCGTGACTCACTCTGACCAAAGTTTCTCTGCCTCTGTCTGGCTTATGCGTTACAGGGTAAATGGCAAATTTTTACCATGTGACAAAACTCTGACTGTAAATGGTCATTTACTTCTTAAAATCTGTTAGCATGAGAACTTCTCTGCTTCTTCATTGCTATATCCTGGCTCTTTCCTTCCTGTTCCCTTTCGCCATGCTACCAAAAGCCAGCTCGCTAAAGCTTCAGAGGGCAGAGCAGTGGAGAATTTAGGTATTTTTCTGGATTACGGTTTGAGACTACTGGTGGATCCAGATCCTGGAAGCCACAACTCAAACCTGGCCTCCCCAGGAAGTCAACAAAACCCCAAAGTTCATCCATAATAGTATGGTTGGCTCTTACATCCGAGTTTCTCATCTTACCCATCTTCCTACCATCAATGAAATAAAAGGAAACCATATAATCAGTCCATTATGGTCAGGGAGCTCCAAATAACAAAGGTTCCCAAAAGAAGTCTTCTGATGAGAACATTTTTTTGGGGGGGGGTTAGGCAGTAGGGTTAAGTGACTTGCCCAGGGTCACACAGCTAGTAAGTATCATGTGTCTGAGGCCACATTTGAACTCAGGCTCTCCTGAATCCAGGGCCAGTGCTCTATCCACTGCGCCACCTAGCTGCCCCTGATGAGAACCTTTCTGAACCATCTGATAAACCCTGATGACTCAACAAGCAAGCAGCAGGCATAATTCAGACGCTGGAGCAGTTATTAAGGATTTCCTACATTGTGACGACTGTGTCTGGAAGCACACATGTGGGCAGTCTGGGAGGCTCTGGAACCCTCCAGTGTTCACTGAAGCCTGAAAAAGACTGTTCGTGGACCAACAGGCGCCAGGCCCGACAAACAACTAAAGGTTTTCCTTGGCAACAACATCACACTACAGGTATGCTGCCGACAAGGAGCTCACACGCTACAGGCAACATAAAGCGCAGCTCTACAGCATCTAGCTACCCAACAAATCCATTTCACAGATGAGGAAATTCAATTGCACAGATGATCCTATGACTTGTACAGGGTTACACAGCGAGTGCCTGCATTAGGAATGATTCCAGCTCAGATCTGCCAACCTGCAAACTCATGGCTCTGGCTACTACACGAGGGCAACTTAAGCGGGTGTGGGGATAGCCTATTAGTAGAAGATGGAAGGACAAGATATTAATGGGGCTGCTCCTGAAGGGGTGGCGATCTGGGAACTGGTTACCTAGGAATCTGCTATAGGAGGAACAGCGAGATGGGGTTAGGGAAAAAGCAGTCTGTGATGTTCTTTAAAAAAAAATTACCTTTAACATCACTTTTTATTTTGGACTTAAATTAACATTTTTTATTTTGAACTTAAAGTCAACAAAAACAAATTTCTACATAAACAGAAAAGGTATTTTCATAAAAAGGAATGTATATGAAAATGGGAATCTCTATGTCACTCTCCCTTTTTTTAAAAAAACAAGTCTATAGTAAATTCTGTATTATGTTCAGAACTGTTCTGCTTGTCTGTGTTCCTTCTAAACTTCTGTCCTCTTCTGTATGTTTTTAAAAAACCACACATATATTTCAGTGGCTCTCCTTTTTTTGGCATCACTATTCCAAGCAATCCCCCAGGTACCACCAAAGGGAGGAGGGGAACACTTCATGACAAATAATCAGAGTCAAGCAAACAAAACAATGCCGTGGGCGTGGCCAAAAATGAAAGTCTCTTTTTGTACCTTGACCTGCTCATCATTCTCTCAGGAGGTGGGTAACATGGTTCATCGTAAGCCTCTGGAACATGAGTGAGTCATTGCTTTTATCACATTTCTTGAGAGAGAGAGAGAGAGAGAGAGAGAGAGAGAGAGAGAGAGAGAGAGAGAGTGTGTGTGTGTGTGTGTGTGTGTGTGTGTGTGTGTGTGTGTGTGTGTGTGTGTGCAGAGAATCTTTTACACAGATTCCAACATAAGGTTCCAAGGGGAAATTTTTATTCTCTAAAACTTTCACACACACATACACATACACACACACATCTTCCCAACTACACAAAGGAAGTTCAGAAGAAAGAAGAGAGGACACACCTAAACGTCTAGCTTGTCTTCCACCCCAACGTGTAGTATTGACATCAATAAGTGAGTGGGGGAATGACCCAAAGAATTATAGTGAGGGAAATGGGGCAGAAGTATTGGGAAAAAAGGTGAGCAGGGCAGAGAAGGTAGCAGGACACTTCCTAACCCTCACTGTTGATCACTCCCCCATGGATGCCTTACTTTCCCATTAGCAGAACTAGTGTCTTGGCAGTCAGTACAGCTGAAGGTGGGGATGCCCCCAGCACTCTTCACAAAAA